CAAGTTTGCGGGTTAGCGTGCCTGTAGCATTCCCAGAAACTTCTTGAACTTGCAAAGAAATATCTATATCCTCATTAGGGAAACCCAGTGCAGATGTTTCTGACAAGGCCTCTTTAAATTTAGTTACAGCCTGTCCCTTTCTGGAGTTACTTGAAAGGGATCTGACTCAGAGGCTGTGGTACTTACATAATCTGTCAACTTTTGAAGGGGTGGAGTCTAGCCAGTTAATCAGGTCACAGCCAATGAGACCTCTGTGTGGGCTTGGCCTTCTCCTGAGGATTCTGGGAACTCCTATCTTCCTCCCTGGAGGTGGGACACACACTCTCCCTGGTAGACGTTCCTGTTCACAAGCCACATGGAGCTACACTGATGGAGCCAGAGCCCTGGAGGTGAAGGAGCCATGTGGAGACCCATGCGAGCGCTGAGTTGCTTCTGCTGCCACTGGATCCACAAGACTTTCCACCCACTGACCTGTGATCTTCCTGCATTCCATGTCATTGCATGTGTTGCGTGAGTCTGAAGAGGAATGTATAGACTGGTATCAGACATATTGTCTAATATCGAACTTATGGATTAGATCTAGATTGAGCTGGGATGTTTTCTTAATATGCAATCATTCTTTATATAAAGCTCTTTCTTATACACATCTGACTGTCTCTGTATTTGTTTCTCTAGCCAACCCAGACTAACACAGAGACCTTTCAATATTTATATAAGCATTGAGTCAGTAGAGAAAATTTACCAACCCAAGCTTTACAATAGCCACATACTCCTAAAACCCCACATAATTGTTTGTTGGTTTTAAAAATGGGAAAGAAAACAATAGTTTCCTTTCATTCAGGGTCATTAGAAATACCTTCTCAAAGATTATATGCCCTAGGTATTTAACAGAAGATTGAGTCTATTGCAGTTTGTCTTTAGAAGTTTTATGATCAAAGCCACCCCCTTCAAATTCAGTGCTATTGTGGGATTCTGAGACTGTAAATCTTTGTGGGAATATGAAGCCTCAACTTCACCCCAAAGAATGGCTGGTGGTTTTGAATTCCTGACCTTGTGGTTAGCAGCCCAACACATAGCCCATTACACCACCAGGGCTCCTTCAGCTTTATGACCACTGGCTACTACATGTCACATAAAATTATACCATCTTCAATGGAAGCCTGTTGTGAGACGTAACACACTAATACATCATTGATATACTGCAATAGTTCTGACTCATTTTTTAAATTGCAAAGACTGTAAATCAGCATGGTAAAGCTGAGAAACATAACAGAAGAGTTGGTGAATCATTGAGGCATGACTGTCCAGGTAAACAGTTGATTATCCCACATAAGACTGTACATTTTTCATTTTACTGGGGGCTCTGACAGCTCTTATAACAATCTATACATCCACTGCATCAAGAACATTTGTACGTATGTTGCCATCATCATTTCCAAAACATTTTCTTCCTACTTGAGCCCTTGGTATCACCTCCTCTTTTTTCCCCTCCCTCCTCCAGCCTCCTGAACCCTTCATAATTTATAAATTATTTTTATTTTCACGTATTACACCTTCCACTCTCTCCCTTCACCCATGTTTCTGTTATTCATCTCCCTGGGGTGGGGGTGGGGGGTTGTACATCAATCATTGCGATCAGTTCCCCTTCTTCCCTTCTTTCCCCATCTTCCCCCTGCCCTCATGGCATCACTACTCTCATTATTGGGCCTGAGGGGTTATCAGTCCTGGATTCCCTGTGTGGAGAGCTCTTATCTGTATCAGTGTACATGCACTGGTCTAGCCAGATTTGTAAGGTAGAACTGGGATCATGATATTGGGGGAGGGAGGACCGGGAGGAAGCATTTAGGAACTAGAGGAAAGTTGTATGTTTCATCGTAGCTACACTGCACCCTGACTGGCTTGTCTCCTCCCCGAGACCCTTCTGTAAGGGG